CAATTCAAAAGTCTTTCACACACTCGTTTGGTATGGTATCGATCGAGAGATTGACCACAACATCAAATTACTGGTCCCAGTCTTGTCGGTACTGTATTATCCCTGGCGATAAGATTTCGTTTTAACCCTTCCCTACTCTTTCGCTAGGCACATTAGCACAGTTTATATAGTTTAAGCATTAATCGCATAAGATGGATGTACAGTAGTTTTCCACCAGGGTATGTAAAAGTAGTCATTCTTACTACATTTGTTTGGTACTAAGTCTTAGTTGTAAGTCAAGAAATCTCTCGGCGTATGATACGAGCTTTTTTGAGTGTGCGTTGTCAACTTGGAAGATCTTTTGGAAACACACCCGTATTCTTTCTTCTTATCTCCCCTGAGTATGATATGTATATGTCCGGCCGCTCCCTCGAATTGCATCTCTGACTATGGAAAATATGTTGGTCGACTGAATTTCTCTGTTCTTTATGACTGAGCATTGTACCATAATCGCACAGCAGAAAATAACTAACTACTACTGACACAAACATAGTAAGCACAAAACATGGCTTATACCGAAAACGATCGTATTTACCCAGAATTGCAGGAACACTCTTGATCGCCGCAATCTTATCGGACTCTAATTTGTACACACATCTTTATGCTTTTTCTTTTTTTTTAGTTGCACAAAAACTCTGGCCTTGGTTTGGAAGAATATCATGCTCATAAGGTCTTGACAGACTAACTAGAAAAAAATGGATTCACTGTGACCCAAAAAGCGCTCGAATTGGATACGGTATTCATGGCCAAGTATACCAATGGTTTCGGCTTACGTGTTGGCTTATATAAACGTGGTCCCCTTGTACAACTCGCTTCTTAGGAATTTACAAATTGCAGTTATCTATAGGTAGCTGTGTAGTAGTCGCTTTTAACTAAGGGTCTTGAGCCGCGTTTTGGTCCGGTATGATGCCATGGGTGAACTATTTCTCTTTCTGCTCTATTAAACCTTTTAGATCTTTGCTTTGCTCTTTTACTCATCAAGGCGATGACAAGGTATATTTTCAACGCACCGCAAAGAAGATTGCAACCGAACGACTCCAATATTGCATAGAACGCTATCCTTTTCTTTGAATCACTTTGTCAAACAAAGCCCAATTACTTTCTTTGTCTTCCGTCAAAAACATCCAAATAATCTTTGCCCCCCTATGTGATGTTGAACCAGAAACATTACGACATTCTTTCATTGATTGCCCTTTAACGCTATCCTTTTGGCTCCAAGCACTGCAGCGATTACGCGCCCCACCACAAACATCGGACCAACTCTGGGGTGCTCCCAAAATGCGCTTTTCCAATGACAACATGTTCTGGCGCTCTCACCTAGGCGCGCTTGGGGCTATGGTACAGGCTGTATGGGCCATGCACTGGCGAACGGTACTGGAAGGATCCCCTTGGAATCAATAAGTCGTTGACAAGCACCTTCAAAGCCTTCTCTCCCGTTCATCTCATGTAATTTCTACTCAAGATTTTGGGGCTCAGAACCCTCAATAAAATATACAAAAGAAAAAAAATTTCCAGGCTCGTTCTGTTTTGTTGTCAGTACATTCTACTATGCAAAGTATGCAACGTGCCACCGCCATCTTATTACGTTCTACACGTTCAATTTTATCAATCTATACCACGCCGCTCATGTCTTGTCCGATCTTATTCCCAATCACACTATCCAGAAGAACAACAGCAACAAAGTACTACAGCAACTGCTAGTAGTAGCACCGAGAACAGTAGCAGCAACAACAACAACAACAATTCACTTGATGTACTCGATCGCGATATAATTTTACAAAAAGGTCGAAGTCCAAGATCTGAATCTTCCGATTCCACTCGTGATTTCAACAGTATGCTATACACGTTGTTCCCTGAGTCTCAAACACAAGGATCGTCATTACCACCACTGCCACGAAAAAATAGTAGCAGTAGTGGCGCCAAGACCCCAGTGGATCCTACAGCTGCTAAAAAGAGCAAGCGCATCCACTCGCAAATTGAAAAACAGTTATTAAACATGGTCATCAAGAGCCGAAAGCCGCATAAAAAGACATCACCACTACCACGTGGCATGATGGGCTCATTTTATGGCAAGGCCGACAACAACAAGAGCAAGCAACTCAGACGCGACCATGAATACAATATGGCAAGGATGACGAACAATGACGCGATTGCAGCAAGGGACAAAGAAACCAATGCTATCAATACCATTGTTGAATGTGCATCCAGTCGACAGTTACTCGAACGGGTCATGGAGTTTACATCGTCATCGTCATCAAGTTCAGCAGCAACAACAACAACAACAAAAGGAGGCTATCCACCCTATTATGCGAAATTATTAGAACGTGCGATTGAAATGGCAGGCATGACGTTCGAGGACCCCTATCTGGCACTGTCGATTTTCGAACACGCCAAAACTCACAGTGTTGTGAGCTACGTGTCTGGATGTACCACGGAGGTGTACAACGCCATGTTGATGATGCGATGGAAACTTTGGCGCGACGTACACGGAATGCTGAATCTGGTCGACGAAATGATGGCCCACGGTGTAGGATACGATACCGAGACGCGTCGGATTATGCAACTGGTGGTAGCCGAAGTGGAGAATGAAATGCGCTTGGATAATGATGATGACGAGGATGACGGTGCTGCTAGTAGCGATGTATATCGTTATGGTCCAAACATGAAGGATGGCATGGTGTGGAGCATGGATGAAAGACGATCCGCCAATATCATGAAAGCCCTAGTTGGAAAATGGTTGTTTAAATAAAAAACATTTTTAAGATGTGGGTCAAACATATCGAACCTTTTTACTCGATCGGATTGGAAGCGGAATCGCCGATAACGATGAACAATCGGCATTTCAACATGGTTTGGGCTGCTTGGTTCGGTTTTACGCCTTCCAGTGCCTGGTTTCACCTGCTTGTGACAGTTCCTTTTTTTTCCTTTCTTTCTTTGTCTTTCTAACTCTCTTAAACCTCAATCATCCTCTCCCTACCTCTCTCTCTATCTTTTTATTAAAAGCACCCATTAGCTCATTTTACATGGTCGCTACAAGGAAAGCTACTGCAACAAAAGCTCAACGCAACAATGGCGTCAATCGTCGTGTCACTCGTTCGACTACCGCCGCAGCGCTTTGAAATATATCTAAGCTGTTATAAGATTTTGAAACATCACAAAACAAAACTCTTTAATCATTACAGTGCCCGCTCGATAATTCGATCACTTTGGTCACAGCCGTAAGTGATCGAATTATCGAAATATCGAGTTATGGAATTGGGACGCCGTTAAGAAAAGGAAGGTTCAAGAAGAAAGTATAGGCACCCTGTCATCTTGTGTTACATGTAGTAATAAAGTAGCTGATGTCATCTGTCAGCAAAAAACATTGTCTTCTTTACCTTATCTTTTTACTTCAATATTATGGGCAACAACTCACTTACAAACCGCCAAAAATTTGCTATTTGCACATACAAACAGCAGAATCCTAAAGTCGGTCAACGTGCTTTAGCACAATGGGCTAAGGATGAGTTCAAACTCGAGAAACCACCTATCCAATCGACAATCTCGCTTATTCTTAGAGAAAAAGAAAAGTATCTCGCTATGTCGGAAACCGAGCTTAATATGAAAAGAAAACGCGTACCAGCATTGCCAGAAGTCGAAAACGTTCTTGCAGAATTCGTCATGGATATGGCATCTGTTGGGCAACCAGTCAACAGGGAAAGCATCATTCTCCAAGCAAAAATTCAAGCAAGACGCCTCAACATTGTTGTTCCTGAAGGATTTCAGTATTCTGACGGCTGGGTCACCAAATTCATGAAACGTCACAGATTAAAATCACACGGTATCCATGGTGAGGCTGGCTCCGTTGACATCGACGATGAAAAGATCCAAAAGCAGCTCGAAGAAGTCAAGGCCAAAATAGCCGAGTTTCCACCTGAATGCATCTATAACATTGATGAAACGGGACTTTTTTACAAGCAAGTGCCACGTCGAACGATTTCGAACAAACCTATTGCCGGACGAAAAGTCGATAAAAGTCGTGTAACTGTTGTCCTTGTCACCAATGCAACTGGCTCGCATAAACTTGGCCCCTACTTCATTGGACGCTTTGCTGGAGGAAAAGATTTTTGGATCAAAGCTGAGTAAGTTAATGTTAGTAAAACATGAAAAAGAACGACAGCTGATTCAATACACCATAATAGTCAAGGACTGTTACAAGTATTACTTTGCGGGATACGGCTGGATACGGTCCGGATACGGTCCTTCAATTTTGGGATACGGTCCAATTTTGCTGGATACGGTGCAATTTTTGCCTGGATGCGGTCCAATTTTGCTGGATGCGGTCCGGATACGGTCCTTCAATTTTGGGATACGGTCCAATTTTGCGGGATACGGTCCAATTTTGCTGGATACGGTCCAATTTTTGCTGGATGCGGTCCAATTTTTGCTGGATGCGGTCCGGATACGGTCCTTCAATTTTGGGATACGGTCCAATTTTGCGGGATACGGTCCTTCAATTTTGGATGCGGTCCAATTTTGCTGGATACGGTCCAATTTTGCTGGATACGGTCCAATTTTGCTGGATACGGTCCAATTTTGCTGGATACGGTCCAATTTTGCTGGATACGGTCCAATTTTTGCCTGGATGCGGTCCAATTTTGCTGGATACGGTCCAATTTTTGCCTGGATGCGGTCCAATTTTGCTGGATACGGTCCAATTTTGCGGGATACGGTCCAATTTTGCGGGATACGGTCCAATTTTGCGGGATGCGGTCCAATTTTTGCTCTCTTATTGATGGATAATGCACCTTTGCATAAAAACTTGGAAATTCAGTTAAAAAATATCGAGTTGTGCATGCTTCCTCCAAATACCACATCCCACTACCAACCGCTTGATGCAGGAATCATTGCTTCGTTCAAAAAAAAGTATAGGTACATTGTAAACAACAGGAGATTTAAGCAGACAAAGTGATTTATTTGGATGTTAAGAAAGCAGAACTTGTTG